ACTTTAGTTTTAAAGATCCCTCCAACTTTCATTTTAAAATTGTGAGTTGGGAAATATGGTATTTCTTTCTCTAGAGTTTGATGCAGTTTTTTTGCTTTGTAGGGAGGGTATTGTTTGGTCTAAATTTCTAGAGATGTGGCTATCAGTGTTCATTTTGGTGGGAGGTCAGACTGAATGGGCACATTCCAGGAATAAAAACAAACAAAAAGGCCACGGCAAATTCTGCAATGAGAAGTGCTATGAGAATACAATACACCACACACCCTTTCTTAATCTTGAGCATCAGCCTGCTTCCTTGGTTAACCCAGGAGTAGACACTGCCCATGAGTTCATTCCTTTCAGTAGTAACAATGAATCATCAAAGACTCAGAACTTTAGGAATGGGAAAAACAAACAACAATGAAGGGGAGAATAAAGAAGAAAAAGAAAAATAACAGAAAGCAGACTAAAGTGTTAGAATATATGGGAGAAGAAACAAAGGGTGGCAGCAATGGATAACCTCTCTGGTTTCCCAGAATTGAAGACAGAAGAAATCACATTGAGAACGAAAGTTGTGTTTCATGCCCATTTCTCTTGTGGCCTACATCTACCATATCTCTGCTTTTGTGTTCTCCTTTTATCATCTTCCTTTTGTCTGAATCATAATTAGTGGGAAGAGTTTGATAAGAACTACACATGTCACAGCATTTCCAGAAAACAGCTGCACTTCAGCCCACACTGTTGAGTCAGAACCATGGACAGCAACAAGGGAGCCAGACTGTCTTCTCTCCATCCTCTGTAGTCCAGTCCCTGTTTATGTCCACCCCACATTGTCCCTCACGCATTATATCAACTCTTGCAGGTGGGAGGCATACGATAGGCAAGTTCGAACCGAATAAGAGCTGCTTTGATAGCTCTATAGCCTTTTCTGTGACACAGAGCTTTAGGTTTTCCACTCCAATCATGACCTCTGCAAAAACTCAAAATGGGATCATCTATCAAAATGTGTAGGACAGTGAGTGGATTTACTAATCCTGGCTTGGATTATTGACTTTGTAAACCCTGTTAGAAAAATGACAGAGAAGCCAGCAAAGGTACTTCAGGGTTTTGCTGAATCTGAAGTGAGACTTCTGTCAAATAAATGATCCAAGTAATCAAGTGAGAATACATAAAAAAGATTTTTTTCTAACTTCCCTTTGGTCTCCAGTAGAAAGTGACATTTATTGTATATGAGCCAATTAGGTTGTTTCATTAGAATGGCTTCTTAAAACTTGGTATATAAGATTGCCTAAATTAAAAATGTCTACTTATATTTAAGTTTCAAATGTCTTTTACTTTTTAAAAGAAGATACTATAGAATCATCTTGAAATTTGTAATCTAAAAATAGGATTTCATCAAAATATTCCACTCTATTCTGGGCATTGATATACTATGTACTTACTCATTATGGCTCTCCAGACGTGGTAAACACTATACCAAAAAAAAAATCCTCTACACTTAACTTTATTGATAATAACACTTCCTGGGAAAGGAAAATTAGTAGGAAAAATATGAGCAATGCATTTATTTGAAAAGTAACTCAGCTTGACATTTTTGAGGAACAAGACTCAACACAGAGTTAGTTGTGGCATGATAGATATATACAGCTTTATAAAGAGAATCACAGGAATAAAAATGAAATGATAGTTATAGACTCACAAATCCTTTTGTTGGCAAAAAGAAAAGCCAAAGAAATCCTAAATTCAATAATGTGTTATTATACATGGTTGTGAAACCTTGTGTTGGAGCTGGACGACTGGCTCCTGAATGCCTCAGTGGCCTTTCCCCTTGGGCTCCATCCTATGAAAAGGCTCACAAAATGATCAGACACAGACTTTTTGATGAAAAGCTAAGCAGGAAAACTTAACTTGCTTATCTCCCTGATGGGAAAGAAATGAGTGTTTTGGACATAAATAGTAATTGTGTTCATTTTATTTGGACTTTAGTGGTGGGGATAAATAGATATGAATAGAGAACACAGAAAGTGTAGGAACAAAGGAACAAATGGCTTTGTGCTAATGTGTGGCAAGAAACACAAGGAGGTATAGGAATGGTAGTTTTGACCAAATTCAGAAGGACAGAGGGCTAGCTGGGGTGATTTAAATGGTTGGATACTCTTTCTGTTTTTTTTTTTTTCTCAGCTAAAGGTTTTAAGAGGTTGACCAGAGGCTATAGATAATCTATTTGTGTTTTGTTTAATTTACAGAAACCTTTGATGAGGATGTGTGTGAGAGTTATTCCTGCAGTAAAAAAACATAGGATAGTCCTAGCCTTATAGCAGTGTTGGGCTATTACTCTGGACTTTGACCTAAAAGATCAATCTTTGGGCTTCTATCACTAGTTCTTCTGTCTGGGAAATGAGATGACTTGTCCCTTTCCATACCTGGCCACTTGGGATTAGGTCAGACTTCTGCCTGTTGGAAAGAACTTGCATGTGGCACGAGCTGGCCATGGTGTTCAGTATTAATCTGCTTTCTTACTTGGTTCCCTTAAATCCTTTATATTTTCTGCATTCAAGGAAGACTTTCTCCCATGGGCCCTGGCTTCCCAGCATGTGGTTCATTTCTGTTGTCTCAATATACTCTCTTCTTTCATTGCACAGAGCCCAGGGTTGTCCCACTATTCCTTATTTCCCTCTCCACTCTGCATTCACTCAGATTTCTCTCAGAAGAGTTCCTGATTTTCAGACTCTCATTTTGCTATAAAATCTTTTTCTATAAATTTTCTTGGTAGAGCCTTAATCTAGGTTTTCAAGAAGTCTTCTGTTGGCTTATGAATTTATTGTATATGAATTTCTATGCTAGGGCCAATGGGTAGAATTAAGTTAATGAGTGGATTTTACAAAAGCAGTTTATTTATTTATTTATTTTTGGGAAAGTTTAGTTGTTTCTGGAGAGCCAGAAGTTAGACAAATAAATCACAACTGCTTAGCTGAAGTTGAGGCACTGTGAATATTTTTCCTAACTGGGGATGTAATTGCTTTTCTAGTCTCTTGACTCAGATCACATAGGTGACACTCATTGAACCTATTTTCTTGATGACCCCTGAACTCTTCCCCATAATGGTTAAAACTGCTGCTGTGAATGAATCTCCTCACTTTAAAAAAGCATATTGACATACTCATAATGCATATTCACTCTTCTTCAAATTCAGAATGTTAGTAGTTTGAGTTCCAAGTCATATATTTCAATCAGGGATCATTTGTGCTTCCATGCTTTCAGAAAAAGGAGTCAAGATGCCTGATGGTTAAGAGAGGATCTAAGTTATAGATTAGTCCCAAGTGTTTTGGCTTTCTAAGCTTCATCCTAATAATGCATCAAGTTACTAGAAAGCAATGTCAACTAGCCATACCATCTTAGCTTTTGCATTGAATCAAGACTTCATTTTATTTCCTTCATTTTAATGAAACATTAGTATGAATCATCTACTTGCAAAAAATTTTTCATGTCTTTTAAAACTATCTTGAAGATGTTGTCTACTGCAGTGGCTATGTTCTTTTCTAAAACAATGTGAGTGATAGATTTGAAATTACATAAGATCTCAGGGGAAAGTTTCTATTTTCATACTAATAGCACTACTTCTTATCATGTAACAAATAGCTACAACTCAGTTTGTTACATTTCTGTCTCATTGTTATGATATATGTACTTTATGCTTAAATATATACAGCATGATGTTGTGTTTGCATTTCTTGGGGGGGTGGTCAGCTAGAATTCAAACAGGAAGCTTATAATCTAGAGGTGGCTACTTTTGTATTTTGCTATTTGGCTTAATGAATTTCCTATACAGCTGTTATAATAGGAGAAATCATAGACTTGCTAACTAGCATCATGAATGTTAGAAATGCATTCTCAGTGGTAAAATAATTGAAGGTTCATGGTGGGGAAGTGCCTCATCCTTGCACGAATCTAGCATCTCTCCTGTAAGGGATGATGCTAAGAAAATATTCTGTCCAGCCATGATCTTTGACGCCTTGTCTAGATGTGGTGGAATCCTGCCTCTTGCATTTTGGCATTTGCTTTATGTGAATTTTTTTTGGTCAACAAGATGATGATTGGAAAACTTAAAAGAAACAAAGTCTGGCCTCAAGCCTATAGTCAAAATTGTTTTTGAAATTTTTCTTGTTTTCTGGTAAAATTTTAGTTAAAAATTCATAATCTGGTGTGAGACCTAGTTTTATTGACATCTGATCAGATGTCGAGCTAACCCTGACACAACACAACTGCACTCTCTCTCAGTCTTTGCCAAAAGGAACTAGGAGTGATGATTGGCTGAATAGCCACGGACCAGCAAGCAACATTCGGTTTGTAAGATGTTCGCAAATGATTCTCTTGTGTCACACATCTTCACTCACTGATACTTTGGGTAACTGTCTCTGTTTTGCAAGGATGCTTATCATTTCTCTGGATCTATTTTAGGTGTTTAACATTGTGTATCACAAGTTTTTTTAATTAAAGGAGATGGAATAAGAAAACCAAGATGAATAATGAAAATAAGAGAACGTTGTAATTGGATTCTTTTTGGATATTCCATGGCTTTTCTCTTCACTTGTGGCTTATCTTGAAGTTTCATATAAGCTCTGCTAGTGAGACACAAACACATCTGTAGGGAGGAGCGTGGCAGGCTCAGGTCACAGCGGGTGATGCCTGAGGTTTATTTGTAACTGGTGATGCTTCAATATCACTTTTCAAGGCTGCAGGTAATGCTGCCCCTGTTATCTCCCCTCCCATACACACCTTGGCTATATAGAAATTTTCCCACTGACACCACCAAGAAGAGACAGAGCTAATGTAGCAGCACTTGCACATTTGGGTGTAGTGGACAGGGTTCTTGGGTGAGCAACTCGACTTCAAGTCCAGTTGCCCAACTCTATTTCAAACACTTGTGTGCATCCAGAACCCTGCAAGGAAACAAATGCAGAGAACCCATGAACACACCGTGTTGCTCCACATGCCCAACCTCGTCCTTTCCAAGTGTTCCACTCTGGTTGAAGAGCAAAGGAGTCTGGTGATTTAGAGAGTTAGTAGAAACTGGTCTTGCTCTGGTGGTTTCCTCACCCAGGTGCCCAGCCCTGCTTTCTGAAAAGCCTTAAACAGCTGCTGCTTCACAGACTGGTAGGTCTGGGCTCCCTGTTTGGCCTCACAGTACATGGATGGCGTGTCTCCACAGCTTGGTATCCGTGTGCTGAGCTGTGGACAGGAAGAAGAAAAGAGCAAGTCATACTCAAAGCTGGTGCAGGAGCCTCTGCCCATGGGGTTTTAAGCAAACCATCACTCTTGGTCTCAGCATTTGCTTTTTCTTCCTCCTATCTTTTAGAACACAAAAACATAATAAAAAGCACCTGTGTCTCAGTTCTAAGAGACCAGTTATATGGAAAACCCAAAGTGTGAATGATTAATGAACAAAATTAACATATAACTTGTCTGCTTTTTACAACATAAGCACCTTGCATATTTTCCTTTCTGGAGGAGGATTAGGGAATGAAAATGGGAAAGGGACCCCAGGATGATTGTGGCAACTGAAGTAGCAGGTGGGGCAGGTGGTAAAAAAGAAAGGGTTTGAATGATATTAGATGCCCAGGACAATACAATTAAAATGATTACTTGGCGAGGTTTCTGAATATAACAATCAAAGCTTTGAAAGTCAACATAACGCAGAGGTCAAATATGGTTCCAATCCATAGCCCTCCACACCTCTCTCCTGCCCCCAAGGAGATCAGGGCTTGCAATGAAAGAGGAGGGCAAGACCCTCTACTGGGGGAGCTCTCAGAGTTTGGAGATCAGCACGCCCACTCAAGCTCTCTCATGCAATGACCCCCCCAACTCCCCCCATCTCCCCAGTCCTCCCCGCCCCCAGGCCGCAAGGATGAAACAAGAGATCCTTTGTTCAGTAAGGCAAAACTGATGGCTCTCTATCCTTTCTAAGTCTTTAGAAGTGAACGGAGCAAGAGAGCAGGCACGATGGAGCCTGCCTGGCTGAAGCTCTCTGCTCATACACAATGGCAGCAGTCACAGGCACGCTCAGAGCCAAATGTGTACTATCTGGAGTCATTTAAGTTGACAAAAATGCTTATTTTAAGCATCAGTATATATGTCTTATTCTACTATTGATAAACTAACCATAGCACCATTATTCCTATTCTGAATCACTGCTTGGACAAAAACTTAGCAAATCATTTTGTATTTGTCGACACTATTTTTTTTTTTTTTTGCTTTGGTCATAGTCTTCTATACTTTGGAAATACATGAAAATGTGTATTTTGGTTTAAAATCCAGAAATTCAATATTGTTCCTGACTCTGGAGGAGAAAGCAGCTTCCGAATGGCTGATGCAGAGAAAATGCTGAGGCATCAGAGTGGTGGAGAAATGCCAACTACATTTACATTTAGAGGAAAATAACATGACTTTTCCGGGTATTAAATTTCTTGAATATAAACTTTATGCCAACTTCAAAAAAATTATATGAGGCCAGTGTTGTGGTTAAGAATTGCTGTTCTCAATGCCCATATGCCATGCTTGGGGACCTGTTTGGTCCTGTTTGCTTGCTTCTATTCCGACTCCTGCTAGTGTGCCCAAGAAAGCAGTGAAAGATATTCAAGAGCTTAGCTCTAAAGTTCTGGGCTTCTGGCTTTGGCCACTTGGAAAGTGAAGCAGCAGATGGAAGATTCTCTGTCTCTCTGCCTTTTAAATAAGTTAAAAAAAACCTTAAAAGATGCTTCTACAAACTTTTCTTATGCTCCTCCATGTGCAGTGGTCAGCACAGTGCTTGGCACATTAGCTGTTTGTCAGGTAGTTCCTTTCGTCTTGACTTTCCAGTGCCAAGGTTTCTGCACTCCAGTACTGCTTGTCTAGGGACCAGGCTTGGACACTCAGAGTCCTAAATCTAGGGGAAGGGGGAACCGTTATTGGTCTGGACAGCTGAGGAAAGGAAATGCATTGGGAACTGGATTTTGCGTTCTGTGTCCTTTTTGCTGCAGACCCGGAGGGGGCCCACTCCTGTGATCTGGTTCAGGGTGCCAGCCTGAGTCTGTTGTGGCTAGCTTCTCCCCAGGAAGGACAGGTGCTACCTACCCTGCCATAGAGCCGTGACCACCAAGCCGAGAACACATGCTTGCAGAGCCTGGATGAGCCCCCGCAGCTCCTCTTCCCAGTGGTGGCATTAATAATCTCCAGGTCCGCATTGCCCACGACCCAGTTCAGGCTGAAGTGGGGAGACTTTCCTGGCTGCCGTGCCTCAGCATTACTCACTCCTGTCAAGACAGAAATAAAAGCAGCCAAGCATTAATATTCCTGGCCTCAGACAGGTCTCCTGTGAGAGCAGATAATGGGAAATACAATCTGTGTTGGAGCTGCTATAAGATATTCACACACAGATTGTCCACAGATTTTCATCTTTAAAACCTGGTCAGTTCACCTGCAGGTCACCCTTTCACCTCTAGGCATGACAGGTGAGAATCACACACATCCCTGATGACAGCTTTGTGCTGCAAGTCATTGCTGGTTCCTGTTTTTTTTTTAACCTTTTAATTTTTTTTAGTTTTTATTTTTAAATGATTTTTACATAGTTGATTAGGGTGAAAAGGGTCAAGGGCTACAGAAAGTAGCCCTTGGGTGAGACCATTATTTCCATACTCTCTTTTTTCTTCCCTGTTTCTAGGAAAGAGAGGGAGATAAAGGAGGAAACCACACCCAACCTCCCAGATACCTCTGTACCCTGGGATGGAGGACAGCCACCCGACACCACCCAAGGGTCCCTGATGTGGGGCATGCTTTGAGGGCACTGCTCAAGAGGCTTTTGATAGTTCAACAGTTCTGAGTTACTGCTGATCTCACCACTCCAAGCACGATGAAATCTCTCCAGAATCCACTGGTTGACATAGTCCACCTTAGAGTCTCTGTTTGCCCAGATATTCATTGCCAACCAGTTGGTGCGACCCATAATAAGCCCCACCCCCTATCTTGGTTCCCGTGCTTGCTAATATGTATAGCAGAGTATTCCAGTCTGTCCCACATCCCATTCAGCTCTCATACATGTCAATGGGCATTGAAGCCTAGTTCAACCCAACCAACCAGTCCCAGAATCCAGCCCATACACATACAAGTGGGTGTCACTCTCTATCTAGCCATGTCTGCCCTAGTCCTGGTTCTCAGGCAACTGAAGAGGGAGATGCCCACTGTTTCCCTACTGGGTCCACTCACACTCCTGGATCTTGTACTACCCAGGAGTTTCTGCAGTTTAACTTGACAGAATGTGCTCCCCATGGCAACATATGTCAGTTGATGCTACAGCAATGCCCAAACAACCCACACCCACTCTGACCTTTTGCCTGCACCAGAATGAACAGTCAACCCAGTCTGGCATTTTCCTAATCCAACTCACATGTGGCCAACAGTTGTTATAACCCTGCTCAGTTTGGTTGTCCCCCATCCTAACTCTCATGCTTTCAAGTGGGAGTGGTGGTCCCTACGCAGCCATGGGAGCCCTACACATGCCCCCTACCAGTTTTGTCCCCTCTACTCTCCTTGGCCTCATGTGTGCTGGTTGGGTGCTGCAGACCAGCCTGGCATGGCCCACCTTACTTTGGCATTAGCCAGTGGGTGGTGTAACCTTGCCAGGCCCAGCCCACCCCCAATTCCAGCTAACACTGGTAGGGCTATATCCTAGCTTACTCCAGCTGGCCCCCAGTCCTGACCCTCATGTGAACTGGGTTGTGTAGCGACTGAACCCGGACCTACACACATTCCAGTCTGGTGCTTGTATTCACCAGAGGGTGATATGAACTGGCCCAACCTCATTTGCTCCCGATCGTGCCAAATTTATGCCTGTGGGAACTGTTCTGTGGCCTGGTCTGGGCTGCTCCCTATTGTGTTCTTATATTCACCTTAACGGTCTGTGTCCTGACGGAGGAGTTCCCCAAGCTCCTCCATCAGAACCTCTGTCCAGCCCTACTTAGACCACCTCCTGTTCTAGCAGGATCACTGGCTTTTCCTCACTGACCTTCACCCATTCTGGTTTTACTGCTGGGTGAGAAACAGTTCACACATGGCTCAGCAGGGGGCAGAGACATAGCCTAGACTGTCATACACCTACTCTGGTTCTCACAAGCACCAGTGGGTGCTGGAGTCTAGCCCAGTCTGGCACACCCCAGCTCTAGTTCACACTTGTGTCAAGGGAGACTGCAGCCATTTCCAGACCAGAATGCAGCCCCCAATCTGACCTTCACACTCACCATGGGAACCACACAGCAGGGCTTCCCTTTTGCTTCTAAACAAGGCCTGATCCCAGCTATAAATCTTGCATGTGCCAATGGTTGCTCTGACACAGCCTGGCATAGTCCCTCACCTATCTTGGCCTTTGCCTTTGGATGCTGTATCATGGCCTGCCCCAGCCTGCCCCCAGTCCCAACTCATGCTGGTGAGTGCTGGTACGTGGCCCTGCTCATTCTGCTCCCATCTCTGGCTCATGCAAACCAGTAATTGTGACAGCTTAGCCCGGAATGACCAGCACTCTAGCCTGGTTTCTGTACTTGCTGGTGAGCTACGGTTTGCTTGGCCCTGCCCAGTCCACCCCTTCCAAAAGCAACTCACACACATTTGCCAATAGCTGGAGCTACCTTGCACATCCTGCTCATTCCCCAGGCCTGGACCACATGCTCAGCAGCAGTAGCTATGACACACTGGGGGAGTTGCCCATTTACTCCCACTTGGTTCACTCTCAGACCCAGATCTCATGCATGCCAGTGGGTGCTAAGCCTTTTCCCAGCATAGTCTTCCCCTCCATCTTTGCCTTGTATGAGCTGGTGAATGTTGTGTCCCTGCCTGCCCCATACCCTGTTTTAGGATTCACTGTGTGTTCTGCAACCTGGATCTGCCCAGACTATTCTGGATCCCTGTACCTGTGAGTGTTGGCAGGCACCATGGTCAATCATCATCACCCCAACTCTTGAGCTAAGCAGCAACACTTGTATTTCCATAGAGTTTGGCTCCACATATCCCCACAGAGACTCTACCTCTGGACCTGGTTCTCTTGTGTGCTGGTTAGTGTCATGACCCTGCCTAATGTGACATGTGCCCTGTGTTGACATTCAGTCAGCTACTGGGATCTAGTCCTGCTAGACAGACCCCCAGCCCTAGCTTTTGCATGGACTGGTATGTGTGGTGGTCAACAATGTCCCATGTTAATAAGCCCAACCCAGGACTCCCATGTGGACTGGTGTATCAGTCTGACCCATACAGATCTTCTGGACTCTTCCCTGCAAACCAGCAGGTTTCAGTCCCCTTAGTTACCTGCAAGTACAGTGGGCCTTTATTGGGGGGAATCTTTCCTGATGTAAATGTACAGTGGCCTTATACACAGATGTCCCTTGGCAGTAATTCTACTCCCTCAAGAGCCCCAAACTCGCTGCTGGGTGGCCATTGGGTGAAGCCTGATTCTGGTTGGCCTTTTGGCCACCAGAGGGTTGATTTTGCCCAGTGGTTGGCAGTGGTGGTTTGGGTTAGTTCCCCAAGCGTTGAGTCTGTTTTGGTTCAAATGCCCCCAGCAGTCATCACGCTGCTGTGATGTCTGTCCATCCAAGCTCCAAGCACAACCCCACCTGGCCCCTCTGAAGTTGGTGGCAATGGGCAGAGCCAGGGATCTAGGCTGCCGAGTTCCCCACACAGTGTCTTTGCTGTGGACTCTGGCAAGCCCCTGGTTTGTCCACCGCTTTGCAGCCACAGCCATGGCTAGGGCCCCAAACATTGAGTCCGACCTGGCTCACATGTCCCCAGCAGCTGCCATGCTGTTAGGAGATCTATCCATTGAAGCCCCGATGACGAACCTACCTGGCCCCCCTTGCCAAGATGGTGGCTTAACCTTTTAATTTAAAGGATTTTAAATCAGTTTTGTAGTAATAAAGACCTGCCCAGATTTCTTTCTCTCTTTCTATAAATATTTGCTGAGGAAATTAATGAACAAACAAAGCCATGCCAAAGCAATCGAAGACTGTGTGTTTATTGGCCAACCACCGCAGGTCCAGCCTGTTAAAGAGCTGGTAAACATCAAGAGACCTTTTAGGTTTATAGTTTGGTTGGTGAGGCCAAACAAAAAAACAAAACCCACCAAAAACCAAAAAGAAAAAAAAAAAAAAGAAAAACCCTAAAACAAAAAAATCCATTGACTGCAAGGGAGTTGTAAGAATGTGGGATAATTAATCAAGTGCTGAGATGCAGACACAGCACTGGCCATCAACTTTCTGAGGGTCATTGTGAAAGGAAGATGTGGGTCCCTCTGCTTAAAAATTGCTAAAAAAATGTACAGTTACCAGGAACGGGCTCTTTCTAAGCTTCAGTCCCTGTGGGGATGGGAGGGCCACACACCCAGGGAGCTGCTCTTGACCAGGAAGCATCTCAAATGTTCAGGGAAGTCCTAGTTTCAATGTGTGACTCTCTTTGTCAGATTGCACACTCTTTTTTTTTTTTTTTTGTTGGAATCTACCCATTCCTTATAATTCTCTCAGAATAACAGAAACAGAAAGCAGAGGGTTCACAGCCTGGAATGGTAGTGGCTGTGCCTGTGCTTTTCTAGCTCTTGATGGGCCTCAATTCCTGCCCAGCTTGTCCAGCCATCTCATGGTGTTCCTTATTTTGATCAGGATTTCCTGGAGATGTTGCTGTGTGACATCTAGTGACTTGCAGCAAACACTGCAGAGGCCCCTCCTTCCAGTGATTCCATCCTGAGGATTCCAACTTGTGCAGCATTCTGGTACAGTTGGCCACTCAAATCATTGTCCACTTGCTTTTCTTCCCCACAATCCTGCTGGCTGATCTGTCACCCTTGAGGTGGGAGCATCTGAAGAAAAAGGCTCTGCAGCTCTTGGAGGTGCACTCCCCCACCCCCTGCATGAACACAGCCAGATGCTTTCCTTGGAACAAAACCGGGCATCACTGTTGAGACTCTTCCCAGTTAGGGAGGGGGCATGCTCTAAGTGTCAATCACTGTGTGGCCACATTCCAGCTACAAAAGTAAGTAGAAAAGCAATTGCCTCTTGTTCATTCGCTTGTCCCTTGCTCCATGGGTGCCTCTGGGATCTTTCACTTCTGTGGCTTCTGCAGGGAGTCCTACATAGATAGCACTTTCTACCAACACAGCCTGGTTTGGGCTGGGTTGCTTTCCCCCCACCCCCTCCTTCATTCCCACTTGTGAAACTCAGCTGAATGCCACCAACTTTGCCTGCCTCCTTTTTGCTGCCCTCTTGGCCTTCTAAACTCT